AAGGATGCGGCTTGGTTAAAAGAGGTGGATGCAAATAAAACAGAAGTTGAAATGAAAGAACTAGCAATAACAACAAAAATGGTAGAAAAAAGAGCAAAGAAAATCAAAAATTGGTCAGCACCAGGTGAAGATGAACTGCATGGGTTTTGGTTGAAACATCTAACTGTTATACACCCACTCATTGCCAAACAGTTCAACAATATACTACAAGGAGGAGAAATTGAAAAGTGGCTAACAACTGGGAAAACCTACCTAATAATGAAAAATCCAGCAAAAGGGGCAACACCAGGTAACTACAGGCCAATTACCTGCTTACCAACAACTTTCAAATTACTAACTGGTGTAGTAGCTGATGCAGTGCAACAGCATCTAGTTGAAAACAATCTCTTTCCACCTGAGCAGAAAGGAAACCGCCCCAATAGCAGAGGAACAAAAGATCAACTCCTAATAGACAAAATGATCTTGGAAAACTGCAAGAGAAGGAAGACCAACCTGAATGTAGCATGGATTGACTACAAAAAGGCATTTGACTCTCTGCCACATGATTGGATAATAAAGTGCCTAGAAATAACAGGAGTCAGTAGAAACATCAGAAAATTTGTGCAAAGATCGATGGCACAATGGAAGACACAGTTGCAGATCAATGGTGAGAGGCTGGGAGAGGTTAATATCAAGAGAGGAATATTTCAAGGAGATTCATTATCACCATTACTATTTGTTATTGCACTGTTTCCTCTGTCAACAATACTGAATAACTCAGGACATGGCTATCAAACATCAAAAACATCTGCCAGACTATCCCACCTCCTTTACATGGATGATCTGAAGCTGTATGGAAAAACATCATCTGAAATAGAATCGCTGCTCAACACTGTCCGTATATATAGCCAAGATATTGTAATGGAGTTTGGCTTGGACAAATGTGCCACACTTACTATCAAACAAGGAAAAATAGTGAAAACTGAAGGAATCAAGATGCCCCACGAAAATAACATTAAGAGTCTGGATGAGGAAGAGTACTACAAATACTTGGGTATCCTTCAAGCTGACAACATCAAGCACACTGAAGTCAAGAAAAAGATTAGAGGTGAATACATCAAGAGAGTGAAGAAGATCTTAAAGTCCAAACTCAATGGAGGAAATACCATAAAGGCAATCAACACCTGGGCAATCCCAGTCATTAGGTACACAGCTGGAATAGTGGACTGGACTCAAGCAGAACTAAAAGCAATGGATAGGCAGACCAGAAAAATAATGACAATGAATCATGCCCTTCATCCACGCAGTGACATTGATAGACTTTATCTACCAAGGCAAATAGGTGGGCGTGGAATGCTACAAGTACATCAGATGGTTGAAGAAGAAAAAATGGCTTTGGAAGAATATCTGAAGAACAATGATGAAGATGCACTGAAATTAGTATATCAGGAAGGCTTACTAACTACTGGAGAGACCAAACTGGCCTACAAGAAAGACCAAATGAAGAACAGAATAGAGGCATGGGAAGACAAAGCACTACATGGCCAATACATGAAAAAAATAGCTGGGAAAGCAGATAATAATAAAACCTGGCAATGGCTAAGAGCAGGAAAATTGAAGAAAGAGACCGAGGGACTAATTCTGGCTGCACAAGACCAAGCCTTAAGGACAAATGCATACAAAGTCAAAATTGAGAAGACAGCAACAGACAGTAAGTGCCGCCTATGCAAAGAAGCTGAAGAAACAGTGGACCACTTGGTAAGCTGTTGCAAGAAGATTGCACAGACTGATTACAAGCAGCGGCATGACAAAGTAGCAACAATGGTGCATTGGAAGATCTGCAAAAAATATCATTTGCCTGTAAGCAAAAACTGGTGGGATCATAAAATAGAGAAAGTCATAGAAAATGATAAAATTAAACTGCTCTGGGACTTCAGAATTCAAACAGACAAGCACCTGCAACATAACACCCCAGACTTAACAATTGTCGATAAGAAAGACAAAAAAGTCTGGATAGTGGACGTGGCAGTGCCTGGAGATAGCAGAATAGAAGAGAAAGAACTGGAGAAGATAACAAAATACAAAGACCTACAAATAGAAATAGAAAGACTGTGGCAAAAGCAAGCAAGGGTAGTACCAATAGTCATAGGCTCCTTGGGTGCAATCCCAAAACAACTGGAGCACCACTTGAACACCATTGGCATTGACAAATTCGCTATTAGTCAATTGCAAAAGGCAGCCTTATTAGGAACTGCTTCCATCCTGCGACGATATCTGTAATACCATCAAACATCCACATCTGCCTATCCCAGGTCCTGGGTAAGGACTCGATAGGTAGACAAAATGCCAAATCCAGTCTGAACATCTGGCTGACTGTGCGATGATCGATAATAATAATAATAATAATAATAATAATAATAATAATAATAATAATAATAAAGTTGGAAGGGACCTTGGAGGTCATTCAGTCCAACCCCCTGCTCGGGCAGGCAAGAGACAGATTATGAAGCTTTGGACTGAAGTTCTGGGCAAATTATTCAATATCAGCTTGTTGTTGGAAGAAAAAAAAGATGAATCTCAATTTAAACCTCTCTGAGCCCCTAAAAGGAAAGATGAGATATAAATCTAACACAGGAGTGTCAAACTGCTGGCCCATGGGGCAGACACATCATGTGGAAGCCGCGCCCCCCCATTGCCGGCAATGGGAAAAGTGTCCTGATATGTTGTGTGACATCACATGACGTCGCAAGTTTGACATGTCTGATCTAACATATAATACAAAATCATATTCATATGGCTGTTGTTTAGATAGGCAGCTCAAAAACTGTTATATAGGCTACTTAACTGTGTCACTAGTAGTGATATTTGGGGGGGGGGGGTAAGTTTTATTTGGAAATGAATTGTCCTGATTAGCCAATTCCCCTATGCCATGTGACCTATTTACTGGGTAGTTAGTTGATTCCTCCTCCCTGGAGACTGAGGTGACATCCAGTGGTCGGATTCAGCTGATTTGCATCACTTCGGCAGAACTGGTAGCTAATTTTTTGTTGCCCAGCCCCAGAATGGACTTCTGGAAGCAGCATCCAGACGGAGAACCGGTTGTTCACATATTTGAATCCCACCACTGGTGACATCCTAGAGAGGTCCTGTGCAAGTGAATCTTTCTAGAAATCCGGTATCTTCTGAAGATGAATTTATTGACAGTTGGAGGAGATGGCTCAATTGTTTTTGTCACTGAACCCAAAGAATGGCTCAGAGCATGTAAATGTAACATATAAACAATAATATTTAACCATATAATTTATTTTAATATTTGATAACCACATTTGTTAACTACACCAGAAACCACAAGCAACTATTTTGCCACAGAGCAAAAACAGATGGAACTTTATGCATCAGCTGTCCATCGTTTCCAATACACAATTTTTTTTTGTCCTTAAAAGATCAGTATATCCAAATAAGTTAAGCATGTTATATTTAGGTTGTATAAATCTTGATCACCACATGATGGCAGCAAAGATACAAGTAATCCTCGACTTACAACAGTTCGTTTAGTGAATGTTCAAAGTTACAACGGCACTGAAAAATATGACTTATGACTGTGACTTTCACAGTTACGACCCATGCTCATGTGGTCAAAATTCAGATGCTTGGCAACTGGTTCATATTTATGACCATTGCTATGTCTCAGGGTCATGTGACAAGCAAAGTCAATGGGGAAGCCATGTTCCCTTAACAATCAGGTTACAGACTTGTCAACTGCAGTGAACCACTTAACAATTGTGGCAAGAAAGGTCGTAAAATGGGGCAAAGCTTACTTAAGAAATGTCTTACTTAACAACAGAAATTTGTGGTGGTAAGTTGAGGACGATCTCTATTCTTGAGAATATGCTGGTTTCGGCTAGCGAAATATGATAGATCTGATATCATGAACTTTTATTCAGAGTTTCCTGCCTATCTTATTGCAATAACTTCAATCGAAGTGCGACTTACTTCTAACTTATCGCAGTGTGAACTTTTGTTGCACTATGTGCGCGAGCTCTTTCCCTTGAATGAATTACTTCACTGCAGAACTTTATTACATTTGTGGTTGGGACAACCAAGGTATTTTTGCTGTCTCATGTAAAGAGCAAGATGGAAACTGGCCAATTCGAGAAGTGCCACAGCAGGAACAGGCACATTTTATCTTCCATGCTTCATTGCTCCCCAACATCTGCTGCCTGGAAAAGCTGCTTTCTGTTGCCGAGGAAAAACTGGTGATGGAGGATTTAAGCCTGCCGACACCCTCTCTCGCTTGCATGTACACAACCAAAGGTCTGACAAGCCTTGAAGTTTCAAGACCCCAGTAACTGGTCTGAAGTATGTGAAATCAGATGTCGGAGGTTGCCAAAATACTTCTGTACCCCCACGTTTTTTGTTTTTTAAAAAATTCAAATAAACAAACTTGCCTTTTAAAGGAAAATTCGCGCAAAGAAACTGCATCTAAATATATAGCGTGAAACTTATTTCCACAAAACGCCTCCAAGCCTTTCAGCCAATTGTTGTGAAAACACCCCAAGTGTACAATTACCATGTTTCACAGAAAGTGATGTTCCCGCCCTACCATTCGAGGGGTGTGTGATTTTTTTGGTTTGTTTGTTTACATCGGTGTGATTTAGCATTCATTCTTCTTCCCTTTGTGTGTGTTTGTTCTAAGGCTCGACCTCACACACATTCCCAACTTTGGGGCTGTTTGGTACGACCCCTGCCAGGCGCCCGGACGAACCAAGCGCACCCGTCGCCTTCTGAAAGGGGCGAAGGGCCGAGGCAAAGCGCGCGCGCGGAGGTGTGGGTGTATATGTGTGTGGGTGGGGGAAACGCACGCGCTCTTGTTTTCTCCCGCCGCCTCTCTCTCCCCGGCGGTGTGTCTGAGCCTGGAGGCAAGGAGGGAGGGAGGGAGGAAGGGAGGGGCCGGAGGGGAACCGCACGCGCAGCCTCTCGGGCCGCCTTTCAGCTGCTGCTCTTCTCAGTCTGCGCGAGGACTGAAAGAGGCGAGTCGCTGCGGCAGGAAGAAAGAAAGAAAGAAAGGCAGGCAGGAAGGACCGACAGGAGAGCGAGCGCAGGAGCCGCAGCCACAACAGCAACAGCGGCAGCTTCGTGAAAGCTTTGCGCTTTTGGGGAGTTTTCGTGCTCTGGGCGAGCGCCTTGACGGACGCGCACGATGGAGCCTTGGAAGCAGTGTGCTCACTGGCTCATCCAATGCCGGGTGTTGCCGGTCAATCACCGGGTGACTTGGGACACGGCGCAGGTGTTCGACCTGGCCCAGACCCTTCGCGATGGAGTCCTGCTTTGCCAGCTGCTCAACAACTTGCGCCCTCACGCCCTCAATCTCAAGGAGATCAACCTGAGACCTCAGATGTCCCAGGTAAAGTGATGCGAACGTCTCGTTGCCCGGGTTTCTTCCGGGTCTCTGCCTGCCTTATTGTGCCTTGAATCACTTCCCTTGTGCGTTCCCCCATCCCGTCTGGACTGCTTAATGTCTTTGTTTCCATGCAGGGGAGCCTCCAGGATGTCACTTTGGATTAGTGTTGGGCTTTGGCCGGGGTTTTAGCCGGCAGCCTTAGCAAGAGTTGTTCGAATTTGGCAAAAGAGTTGCGAAGTGGTTTTTTGGGAGCACAGATGGAAAGCTGGCTTGTCAGATAATGTGCGGGATGGGGATAGGGATAAAGAAATGAAAGTATAAATCCTTGTTGGGGGGGGGGGGGATATCTACAAGGCTGACAATATATTTAGAAATAAAGACCTCAGTTGTACCCATAATCGGGAGGATGTATAATAACAGTCTCATTTATCCCACCTACTTAATATGCTTAATATGCAGTTCAGTGTATTTTTCTCTTTGTTGATGTTACTTTTCATGTGAAGGCAGTAGAGGGATGGGGTGATAATACAGGGCAATATTAAAATACATAATTGTGCTGTTAAAACTTTTCTCCCCATCTCATTTTGCTGAATTCTGCCTGAAATCACTTAGATCAGCAAGTAGAAGAAAATGAAAGAGGAACTATGTTCTGTAAAAGTGAAGGAAGCTGACTGTTTCCATTACTGTTAATCTGCAGTTATATTAGATGGTACCATAAATGACTTGTTCCTGCCTTCTCAAAGTCTAAATTGAGATATTAAGCCTTTATTGGTTGCATTTATAGGAAATTGTCTCACAGGAAGTATCTTCAGTCAGGAAAAAAAAAGCGAGAACAGTTGCTATACCTTGGAATAGTGCTTTGGCATCTTTAATGATAACATTTATTTAGGGTTGCAAATAGAATGATCTGCTATGGCATTTCAGCCGAAGTACTGTCTAAGCCCCACGGATTGCAAAGAGTGTATTAAATGCAAGCTCCGAAGACTACTTGGCTGTGTGATATTTGAAGAAACTACCTTCAAACTATTGTTGGGTTCCAAGTTCCAGTAAGCTTAGCCATCATGGGAAATTGTCAGGATTCATGGGAATTAATCCAGCAGTACCTGGAAGGTCATATTTTTCCCATCTGTACAAAACATAATGTTTAAGCAAAGCTACTCCATCTCCCAGCTTGACCAGGCCATGGAAGTGAGTTTTAACATCATTTCAGCTGCATGCAAAAGCAAGCGATCTGTCAAAACTCACTGCCACTCTGCCTGGACAGGTAGTCCTCGACTTGCAACCATTCATTTAGTGACCTTTCAAAGTTGCAACGGTACTGAAAAAAGCGACTCATGGCTGTTTCTTTACACTTACAAGCATTGCAGCATCCCCATGGTCATGTGATCAAAATTCGGACACTTGGCAACTGCTTCATATTTATGACGGTTGCAGTGCCCCAGGGTCACGTGATCACCTTTTTCAACATTCTGACAAGCAAAGTGAATGAGGAAGCCAGATTCACTTAGCAACCATGTCAGTAGCTTAACAATTGCAGTGATTCACTTAACTGTGGCAAGAAAGGTCATAAAACGGGGCAAAGCTCACTTAAGTGTCTCACTTAGCAACCCATATTTTGTGCTCAACTGTGGTCGAGGACTACCTGTACTCCAGGTTTGCCTGCATGAGCCTCAGGGCAAATGAAGACAAAGTTGGATTACAGTCAGAACTTAGTCCTACTCTGCCCAGATAAACAGTCATGAAAGCTAGATTGTTCTTAGAACTCTCCCATTGTGCTACTGATAGTTGGCTTGTCCAAGTAAAGCAGGGATCCAACTTTGCCTGCACATTCGTGCACCCAAAGCCAGAAACCTGTCAGAAATTGGAACCCTGTCAGAACTGGACGGCCAGCTTATCCAGGCAACCTATGTGTGAATACCAGCAGGATTCAAGCTTCGTGGACACCTGTCAGAATTTGTGCCTTCTATGCCTGAATGAGCTGCAAAGTCAATATATTCTACACTTTTTTTTATGTAAAGGAACCATTGAGCCAAAATAAATTTGGAACAAGAAATAACGGCAGTTGTCTCCTTCCCTTCTAAACTTTACTTAGCAAAATTGGAAAAGTCTACCATTTTAAAAATTAATTATTTAAAATGCTATATTTATTTATTGCCCAGCTCTAAGCCCACTGAACTCATTAGAGAGCCAGTTTGGTTAATGCACCAGGCTAGAAAGTGGGAGAGCATGAGTTCAACTTCCTTCTTTAGCCATAAAAGCCAGCTGGGTGACTTGGAGCGGGTCACTCCCTTTTAACCTAACTCACCTCATAGGGAGACCAAGGTGTGTTGGATATGTTTGCTGCTTTGAATTATTTGTAAAAACGATAAAGTTGAGATACAAATAAATTAGCGGTATTTGTTGTGAAAAGCGTGGCATAATGGAAAGAGCCATGAAAACTCATCTTTTTATCCAGTCATACCACAGCAAATTTGAGTATCTTATTTTGTTACTACTAAAATTTATTTCCACTGAAATAGACAAGAAGTTGTCTAATTCCATTTAAATTGATTCGTGGATCATACTGTTTTGTCATTAGAAAACATCCGTCTGCATGTCTCCTGATATTTTTCTACTTTCCAAGATCAGCATTTGTTTTTTAAGTTGCATTTTCAGTTCTGTTGAAAATGATTGCATGATGTTGATTCATATAGGGTTGTTGAGTACTTTATGTTCATCATTTCTGACCGGTAATGTTTGCAGCCATATTTTACAGTAGGATAATATTGACAATGTGTTTCTGAGAAAGAATTAAGGTGTAAGATAATTTAAAATTTAGATAACTAACCTCTTTGACTCTGAAGGCTGGGCAGGGTACTAGTGCATTTACCTATGAGACACTTCACAGGCATCTCAACTTCTTTATGTCTTTAGTTCATTCAAGAGAGAGAAACAGCGAAGCTTCCTTCCAGAGATACCATACAGATTGCTCAGGGTTTCTTCTATTAATGCATAGAAAACCACTGAGTTGATTAGAAGATCAGCTGGCTGATAAGAATCTAGTAATATGGAGTATATTTGAATTGTTTTAGAAAGCCTGTAGAAATATTTAAATGCTATTACATGGTGGAAAGGCAACATTTTAAAATATTGAATTGATAAGTAATATTCCATTGGATGCTAGATGATACTATATATCCAGGCTACACCAATTATCTGAACCACCCTTGTTAAGAAATTATGGGTAGTTTGATGCCTATTTTTTAAGTGACAGACACACTGGCTTAGTTTTTGCTCAAAGTTAGTTTGTTTAAATAGTTGCAGTTTTGACTTTCACAGCTTGTTTTGCTTTATTTGTAATTTTAGTGAAGATATTGTTCCGTATTTTTACAGGCCACGATCATAAGAAAATTAGCATGTATTTTTATGAGAATTGGTTCATATATTGTAATTATTTAATACTATTCAGATGTAAAGTCATAGTTTAATCCTGGCTTTATAAGATAATCTCAAATTGGGTTTGTGAAATATGCTGAACTAAAATTAAACAATCTCATTATGACTTATTTTAAGTTTTTAAGATGTTATTGTCTGAAGATGCAAGCTAGGAATAAATGACAATAGCAACAGTGGATGTATACTAGGATTGGCTTAGTTTAGTGTGTTATAACCAAACTTGTGTGATTAATTTACAGTTTAATGTTTTATATGAATAAGAGTTTATTTCATATGTTATAAAAAATCTCATCTAGTGTTAAAGGAGAATGAATAATTTTTTTAAAGAAGGCAGTCTTCTACTGAAATTATAAAAAGAGAGATTACTTATCAGCTCTGATCACCTGATGACATTTTATATTTTTTTCCAGACCAGACCACCTGTAGCTATCTGTTTTTTTTAGAACAGGCTTCTCCAATCTAGACGTGCTGGGCTACACTTTGCATTATCTGGCTTTTGAGGATAGCAGGCTTCTTTAGAATATGAATTAAAACCATTTCACTTTTTTCACTCCATTTCTGGAGCAGCTTTTTTAAAAATAAACTTTCTTTAGGAGAATATTTTTATATTATTGTGTTTCTTAATAAAGGGCTATTACATCTGCTCTCAAAAATATAGATGAGTGTTAGATGGCAGGAAAAATACACATACAGCCCCAGCTTTTTGCTGCCATCTAAGGATTGTCCAGAGTTTTGCATCAAATCTGATCTGCTTAGCAGGAGTTTTCAAGTTTCTTAAGACTCTGCAGCCAGTATTGTAATTTATTTTCATTTCATATAATAAAAATGAACTTTGAATTCACCTGATGCCCTTTGACATACTGTATCATTAATTCTGAGGAGTGAGGGAAAACACCTGCCGTGTATTTGTTTTGTGGATTTAAGCACAAGAAATTTGAGGAAAAAAGTCTTCCTGAGGGGAAAAATTGCCTGCATATGAATTATGCTATGGGTGTCTTTGGAATGAAAGAATATTAAAATTGATCTTAAACTAAATATGGTTGCAGAAAAGCAAATTCGGTTGTAGGCATTTTGGCTCCCCTTTATTTGGTGTTTATTAGACACTATCTTCAGTATCCCATTCAGTTTTGGGTACCATAATTTAAGGATTTAGACAAATTACAGGAAGACAGAAAGAAGACTGGGGAGAGGTAGTGAAGGAGCTGGATAGGTTAAGTTTTGAGAAGACTGGAGAGATATAATATCACTCTCCAAATACTTGAAATGACAGTTGAATAAGGACCAAGATCTGCTTTCTATTATTACAGAACATGGAGCATGAAATAAAAGATTTTAAACTACAGGAAGGCAATTACTAATTGAACATTAGAATTTTTTTTTTCAATGTTCAGAGCAGCATAACTGGGTTATTCGGAGAAGTGGTAACTGGGTTTGTTTAAGCAGAAGCTGGACAGCTATCTGTTCAGTATGTTTCAGGAACAGGACATACACATGTTGTCCTATTCCTGCATATAAACATAGGAATCAAATGTTTCCTAGGATATTGTCTACCAGTAGGAAAAAAGTGA